TCTGAGAACTGTTTAAGAAATTCTTTGTCATAACATTGAGGCAACTCATGTACATCTGCTGAATGTTTAAAAGAGTACACAAAATTATCCCTGCATATACTTTCACAGTTTGTATATTCAGCTCGTTGACTTCCTTTTACTACAGGTTTTAGAAGAATGGCAATCAATTAATTAATTCATAGTGCTATCCCACCTGTGGGATGTTCATTAAAAAAACCACACATACAAACACAAAAAAAAAAAAACAAAAAGCAAAACAACTCATTCCACAAACGCTCAACTTTTCAAATGACTGAAGTTTCAAGAAAGGAATTTTTCCACAACAACGAGTATATAACTTACCTTTATAGAGAAATTCCTACTGTAACGTTTCTGCTTATAGGCTATAAAACTAAATTTCCCCAGTGAAGCTTAAAAAAAAAAGGGGAAGAAAAAAATAGTTTTGTTCAACTCATTCAGTACTTTTTCTTAACTGTGTGAAAAAGTAGCTTTTCTGACTAGAATAATGCAGCACAATGAACATGAAATCAATGCCAAATGCCTTATCCTGAACTCTGAATGGGCAAAGCTCCACTGACTTTTAAGATTTCTTCCCTTGCAAATGGTATTGAAGAGCAGTTGTTACAGGCACCTCAGGTCTGTCTCTCTTTGTGTCAAGGAGACGCAGAGGATTTTGGAAATCAGCACAGCAAGCTTTGAATGATGATTCATGAAACGAAAAATCCCCATCTAGTACGAAGGGGAAATCCCGAGCGCCTGGTGCCATCACTGCCGCACTGTTTCCTATGGCCTGTACAGGAAAGAGGCCCAATATTCCTCAAGGAGACCAAGGAAAGGCCACAGAGGCCAGAAGACTCAATCAGAAGCCTGAGGAGAGACCAACGACAGAAGCAGCCATGTTGGACACGTTCCATTCCCCCCTTATCCCTGGGCCTTGGCCCCACTCCCACCCGACCCCTCCGCGCTCCGGCTGCGGAGCATGGGGCTCCTACACACAGCACCTACACGTAGCTCCTACATGCGGCACCTACATGTAGCTCCTACATGCGGCACCTACACGGAGCTCCTATATACGGCTCCTACACGCAGTACCTGCACGTGGCGCCTACATGCGGCTCCTACACACAGCTCCTACACGTGGCTCCTACACATGGCTCCTACATTTAGCTCCCACACATGGCACCTACACATGGCTCCTATACAGGGCTCCTACACGTAGCTCTTACACGCAGTCCCCACACACGACTCCCACATGCAGCCCCCACACACAGCTCTCACATGTGGCTCCCACACACAGCTCCCACACG